CGCTTGCCCCCCCCCCCCCCTGACGGAGTACCCCAGGTACGCCACTGCTGTTGTCCAATAACATTTTAGGAAAGTCCTACACTGGTCCATGTATTGTAAATGTGGTATAAGTGCGTGTAAGGAGGAGAGCTCCTCAGAAGAATGATCGGCGAAGAATAATCGACGGAGAAGAGTTGACAAGAATAATTGTTAGAGTCGGGTTGAGAATCGAAATGTAGAACTCAGACTTTTAGAAGAATTGAGAAGAACTATATCAGTCAGATTGAGAATCAATACCGAGAATAGTGACAGAGCCCAGAACTAAGAACTCAGATTCCGAAGCGGAATCAGAATGGGAACATTGTGATTACTGAGCAACACTAAGACTCTAAATCAGAATACAACTACAAAGCATCGTTCTTCGCTAGTCGATATAAAGGGGTGTTGACGGCCACAGAATGCTGAACGAAACTTCATAAGTCAATGACAGAACTTCATTGATTCAACAAGTTGCAGTGACGGTGTTCGTGGTGATTGCCTAATCACTGACGTAGCTAGGGAGTTGCAACTGGACATCCAGAGGACGACAACCACGATCGCACTTCGAATCGGATCCAGTTCGTTGTTGAACTTTTAGAGAGCTCTCGCGCGCACCCCTCCAGGGGCGGATCTAGCTTTTTGCTAAGGGGGGGGGGGTTGACCAATAATGACGATGCGGAGCATCGTCCACGAGCCGCGAAGCGGCGAACCGATTTTTTGGGGGGTGTTTATTTGAACCCCGTAAGTGATGTTTTCCTGGCATCTATTAACACAATGGAGACCATAAAAAGCAGTGCATGAACACGTCCGTATTACACCCCCATGTATGGTAATTTACCCTGTATGCCAACTTTTTTGCATGATTCAAACATACCTTCCAGTAAAAAAAAGATGCGAGACTGGATTGCCGCAACTTCTTTGCCCTGTTTGCTTCCATATTGCTTGTCACTACACTCAGACCAGACTGATAAAAAAGTGAGCAACTTGAACAAGTAATCCAGGAAATGAGCAGCCCAGCTCAGCGTGCGTTGCCAGGTTAAATCTTCAATCCCCACCCAAACGACACTTAAAATATCCCCAAAGTTGCCAAATTTTGACAGAAAATCCCCAAATTCGTTTTTCATAAAACTCAATATTATTTTCATTCCCAAATATTTATTTTTCATCCCCAAAGACTTCAACAATCCCCCAATTTTTTTTTTTTTTTAATGTGGGGATTTTGGGGATGAGAATCGGCAACGCTGGCCTAGCTTGTCACTTCGGCGGTGGCCCGTGTCCTCAAAAAAGCTGATGGGGGGGGGGGGGGCAAGGGACTCTGTGACATTTGTTCGCCCAACCCCCCCCCCCCCCCCCAAAAAGAAATAACAATAATAATAATAATAATAATAATAATAATAATAATAATAATAATAATAAATGAAATAAATACATAGAAATAGAATAAAATAAAATTACAAGTTTAAAAAAAAAGATAAGATTTAAAAAAATGGTCCCCGGATTTTTTTTTTTTTTTTTTTTTTTGGGGGGGGGGGGTTGCAACCCCCCCAACCCCCCCTCTAGATCCGCTTCTGCCCTCGCTTGATTTAAGTAGCGGTACCGTGAGTAGATTTAAAATGAGATTGATATTTTGCTGTTTGATTTGTTGTTGATGATGATGAATGTTATACTTATATATTTTTTAAAGGACCATGTATTAAGTAAATATAATTATACTTCCTATCGACCATTATTTAAAAGTCTACTTACCTCAACATAAGACGTGAGAATGTGTGGTGGTCTATGTGAGTAAAGCCAGTCAATCCTTTGATAATTATTATTACCTGAACCCTGGCATAATAATTTAAAAGTGGTTTCCCCTGCCACTATGCCACGGGTTACATATCAATAGTCATATTTATATACCTCACTTAAGAAATCCAGCCATCTGATTGGTCGAATTGCATTCATAAACTTCAACTGTTCCTGTAAAATTCCCGGTAACCATGCATAAAACATTTCAATATTTTTAATAACCATGGTTATTAAAAAAATAGGTCAGTCTCCATGGTTACCCCATAGGTTTACATGTTAAAAAATGGTTTGAGCGATGGAGGATACCATACGTGTGCGAAAAATTGGTCGGCAATTTCAATACAATTGAATCTCGATCGATCTTACCGACAATTTTATCTTGCATTGTGACATGAAGACGAAAATTAACTCTCAAAAACAAAAAAACAACATCTGCCGATAGATCTTGATCTAAGTTCGTGCCAATATGCATTGCAAAAGTAAAAGAAGGGTCCGTTTCATGGAGCTTTTGCGAAGCATCCCTCACGCGGAGCCGTTTTCAATCCATTTTAATGTATATATTGGAGAAAACTGCCAAGCATGTTAACGACGCGCGATAGCCGAGTGGTCTAAGCGTTGGTTTTCGATACACCTCTTGTTGTACGCAAGAGTTCGTATCCCGTCTTCGACTAAAATGTAAATTATTTTTTATTTTTTATTTTTTACTTTTTAGTCTATTTTTTTTCGGCATATAAAAGTATTAATGACTGCTTTAATATTCGAGAAATAGTTGTTTTATTACGCTCTCGGGAAGGTTACAATTGGGCTATTCCCCTCGGCAAGCCTCGGGGAATAGCACAATTCTAACCTTCCCTTGAGCGTAATAAAACAACTATTTCTCTCAAAGCAGTCATTAATACTATACTATCAATAATTCTATAAATTCAAATTATCAAGTCATTGACAGTTCCATATTATCTTTGGATATATAGGCTTGTGCAATGCTGGATTAAGAACAATGACTAAACTTCTAGACAAGGAAACATATTTCAGTAAATACATAGGACTGCTACAAAGCTACTGAACCGCAGTGCAGTGCACAGCGCAAGTTGAGCAATGCAGATGACGTATCATGACGTCATATAATCATGTTTATTCATGTTCATACGCTACCATAGAGATATATATATACTTAGTATATTAGTTCAACTCCGCTTCTGCATCCGTCTAGCCATGGGGAGATTTTGGAGGGTCAAAAGTGCACACTGCTTCCACTTTTTACGTATTAGCCTATGAAGACGACAAGTTTTTAGTGCACCAGCGAAATGGGGATTTTGGACTGCGCGTAGCGCGCAAAATATTTAAATTAAAATTTTGAATATTCATGACTCTTTTCCACTTATTAGCATATTATCGCAATGAAAAAAAGACAATGCGCATGCGTTACTATATCGACATAATCCTTAATTGGGCTAGCCTTTGGACAAGGCCTCGCGCGCTGCTTGTCTGCCGAGCAGGGTCTGAAAATAGACTAACACAGTGTGGCTTTCCAGCAGTGATCGCTGGACCGAGCCGCTTCAGCGGCTTGGCCTTTGCTAAATTGCGGAGCTCATCATTATGTGCATATGCATAAGGGTCTTACATATACAGCAGCTAGTGATGATCGTGGCCAATCCTAATTGTTTTAACCGCGCGGTGTTTAAAATGGCTTCGTCCATGAAATTGTGGGGGAATCGGTATTCAAATGTACTAAAAAAAATAAAATAATATCTAGTTCAATTTGGAATAAAATATGAATTTATCAAAAACAATATTCTACTTATTGACTAGGGTATTTATTATTTTGCTACTTTAGTAGATTTATAGTAAAATTTTGTTCCCTTGTTTTTCATTTTAACCTACGCATAGTGGTTCGCACGATCAGCTGGTCGGAATTGTTTGTACAACACTCGAATCTGTGTACGTGTGAAAACGATGCGTTCATGGAGCTTTGAATTTGCAGGGCTAACTGCTGAGCTAGCTGCATGCAAGTGAATTAAAATAATGAAAAGGACATCAAATTCTGGTAATTCTGCTTAGGTCTATAATGTAATAGATGTGCAAAAAAGGGTAGATATCTTCTATGCAGTACATTCTGCATGGTTCCTGTTTTATGCTTTTGTTTGACTCTACATAATAGGCAATAAAGTCTGTTTAAAGTTTACAACTTCAACTGGTTAGTGCTTTATTCTAGTAATCTTCATTCTGGTTGTCAAGTCAGTACATAACACAAGAGGGCGCACTGCCACTCTAAACCATATATAACATCCTTCCTTCTTTAAGAAGTTAATACCTGTATATTAGTTTGTCGGCCTGAAATGCATGTATGAATGCCCATGTCAGTACACATAAATCTAATTATAAATCCTCTGGAAATATCTGTGTTTATAGATATAGTATCATAATAAATCAACTTCAGCATGGATGCATAATTACACTTGAGTGGTTTTGTTGTTCTTTTGAGACAATACATATGGGCTTAAATTCTGTTTTCTCTCGATAGTCCTTTGGAACACTGGCTTAGATTATGTATCATCTTCATCAAATTTCAAATAGATCCAAAATCAAATACTTTTGTTTTGATTTGTCTAAACAACATCAACCAATCAATATAAACAACATACTAACTTTCTTTCTTGTTAATTAACAGGTGACTTTCCTGTATAAACAATTAACTTTCTCTTAATGAAACAAATATATAGTTGTCTGTCTACATCTATATAAAGTAGTTACACATAATGTTTATTTAATGATAAACAACAAAATCTTTCATGTGAGCTCAGAGCTGCCAACCTCCAGAACAGAAAATCAGTAATCACAAGGCTCAAAATCAGTAATTTGGGGTATAAATCAGTAATTTCTTATGCGGCGCTATGAATCTAAAAAAACGACACGCCAACACTGCGCGGACGCATGATTATCTGAAATTTTTGGTGATTTTACTCACACAAAGATGTTAAGTATTGAATTTCAGGTCATCACAACACAGTTTATCATGAAAAATGGCTCCTATTCACAGCACTCGCTACGATAAATCATATTTAATTCATTAAAAAAAAAAAAAAAAAAAAAAAAAAAAAAAATCTTTTTTTTTTTTTTTTTTTTAAATCCGTAATTTGAGACAACATTCCGTAATGGTCGTTAATTTCCGTACCAATTACGGAAAATCCGTACTAGTTGGCAGCTCTGCGAGCTGGTGGATGGCGAGCTCTGGTACTACGGCGAGCTGGTCTTGGTGGTTCGTGAGTCTCTTCAGCGAGCTGGGGTTCGCGAATATCATTATTTGCTTCGCGACGAGGAGACTTCGCTACGTGATCTGGTGAATTTGTGTCGCTACGCTTCGCTTCGGATGTTGATGGCTCTGGTTGTTCGCGAGTTACGCTAGTAGGCGTGGAGAATATATCTGACTGGTCACTGAATGTGCTACTACATGTGCGCAAGTGCTTCCTGTTTCGTCGAACTATATTGCCATTCTCTGACCTGACTAGATATGATCTGGAATCAACTTGTTTCTCTACTCTCGCTTTGTGCCATCGCTTACTCTGTGCGTTAGACTGCGGCTGAACACGAACAATATCTCCGCGTTTCAATGGTGGTAGCTCTTTCGTGCTCTTATCGTAGTACTGCTTTTGCTTCTTCTGCTTTTCCGCTTTCTTTGCGACAACTCTATTTTGTGTGCGTGGAATCAGAAGCTTGGACGCGGTTGGTACAAGAGTGCGAGTGCGACGACCATACAGGCGTTGAGCTGGCGAGCTATCAAGTCCTGCTGTGGGTGTGTTACGCCAATTTAGAAGAGCTAGCTGAAAATCTTCTTGAGCTTCAGTTGTCTTACGTAAGAGACCCTTCGCAATCTTGACGGCACTCTCCGCTTTCCCATTGCTCTTGGGATATGCGAAAATGCTCTTTAGTCGCCTGACGACTGCTCTGGTATCTTTCTTGTGTGGCAGAGGAAGAACTTCGAAGTAGTCTGAGAAATAGTCCACAACACAAACATAGTTCTTGTTGTTCAACTCGAATAAGTCTATACCGAGTTTCTGCCACGGACGTTTCGGCAAGTCATGATTGATCAGAGGTTCACTTCTTTGCTTCGGAGCAAAGGTTGCACAGACTTCACAGTGTGAGAGATAGTCTGTAAGATCGCTTGTCATCCCTGGCCAAAATACACATTCTCTGGCCCTTGCGAGTGTGGCCTGTATTCCTGTGTGTGCGCTATGAAGTCGCTGTTTCACACGAGGTCTCACTTTGACAGGAATTACACAACGCTGTCCGCGGAAGATTATACCCTCATCATACGTTAGTTCATCACGGATGTCAAAGTATGGAGAAGTCCCAGGTGGCAGACGAGACTTGTCTTCGGGCCACCCCTCAAGGATCAGTCCCTTTACCGCTTGTAGGCTTTCATCCTGTTGCGTTTCAATCCTGATGAGCGCTAACGTCTTCTGCGACACCGCTATGTCCTCAAGCATGTGAATGCTTTCAACTTCTTTCTCTGTCGGCGATTGCTCGGAGTTCGGTAAGTATGCTCGCGACAGGGTGTCTGCTAGGTACATCTCTCTACCCGGCTTGTAGAAGATCTCTACATTGTACTGTTGCATTCGCAATAGTAATCTTTGCAGTCTCTTGGTGTAGAAGCCAACGGTTTACGCGTTATTGTCACTAGCGGTTTGTGGTCTGTCCAAAGGATCACCTTTCTACCGTACACGTACTGATGGTTTCTTTCAAGTCCGAAAACTTGCGCAAGAAGTTCCTTCTCGATCTGAGAATATCTAGTTTCGGCCTCAGTCAACGCTCTACTTGAGTATGTCACCGGTTGGTCATTCTGAGTCAACACGAAACCCAGGCCCTTTTGTGAGGCATCACCTTGACCCTCTACCGGCAACTGCTGATCAAAGTATCGGAGAACCGGTGCTTCTGTAACAAGTCCTTTGATCGCGATGAACGCTCTAGACTGTTCTTCTCCCCAGTTCCAGGGAGTGTCCTTGTGGGTCAACCTACGTAACGGTTCGCTGAGCCCCGACAATGATGGCAAGAACTTTGCTAAGTATTGAACCATTCCCACAAATCGCTGGATTCCAGGTATATCTACTGGCTGTGGCATGTCAGCGAGAGCTGCGACTTTGCTAGGATCGGGCCGAACGCCTTCCTTGGTCAGTCGGTGACCAATGAACTGCACCTCCTTACATTTGTACTCAAGCTTGCTAGAATTCAGCTTGATGTCTCGCTCCCGACATCGGCGAAGGAAACTAGTCATGTTACGATCATGGTCTATGCAGGCCTCTGCATGTGTCTCACCCTGTCCAGTTATGAGAATGTCATCTGCTATGACGAATACTCCTGGTAGGCCTTCAAGGCACTGATCTAGGCGCTTCTGGAAGAGCTCAAGCGAAGGTGATAGACCAAAGGGTAAGCGAAGAAACCTATATCTACCCAAGGTGTCTGAAATGTTGTAAGCTTGGATGATTCTGCGTCCAACTTACACTGTAGAAAACCTTCCTTCAAGTCGGCCTTGCTGAAAACTTTCACATTCGCTAACTGTGGTAGGACATCATCAATCGTTGACAATGGGTAATGCTCACGCTTCAACGACCTATTAAGATGTTGCGGATCGATGCATACTCTCAATTTACCACTTGGTTTCCTAGCTACTACAAGACTAGATACCCAATCACTAGGATCTTCTACCTTCTCAATCACCTGCAGCTTTTCAAGCCTACACAACTCTTCTTTCAAATCTTCTTTAATTGAAAGAGGGACCCTTCTAGGGGGCATCACTACTGGCTTTGCCTCAGCCTCTAAGGTCAAATGAACTACTCCTGGCATGTTACCCAACCCTGTAAATACATCCTTGTATGAGATCAGAATATCATCATTAGCTACTGCATGAACAACTTCAATGTTTTCATACTGTACTTTGATCAACTTCATCTGCTGGCCTGTACTAGCTCCCAACAGTGGTCTTGTGACTTCGCCCTTCACAACAACAAATGGAACTAAGTACCTCTTGTTATTCTTTACATTCCTAAGATGCAACTTGCATTTCCCTGCAACTGGTACTGTTCCTTGACCATACACAATCAGAACCTGATTTGTACTAGTTAACTCTGTCCCAGATGGAACATCTTCTAGATGGATAACATTACATGTCGCTCCACAATCAACCTGCATACCAATCTCGTCTTCGTCATTGATTCTAAACTTTGCCATGATCTTTTTCTGATAATTTGGACTCTTACTATCAGCAGATACCTGAAATGCTTCATCTGTGCCTATCAGAGAAACATATACACACTCTTGTTCAGAATCTTCATCCTCTTCAATTGTCTCTACTCTGTGAGCCTTGTTCTTATTCTGTCTACATTTCACAGCGAAATGATTTTCTCTTTTGCACAGCTTACACTTTTGGCCATAAGCTGGGCATTTTGATTTGTCTTTTTCATGCTGCTTACCACAGAAACCACAATTAATCAATTTAGGAGCTAGCTTCTTGCCCTTACCCCCACTATGCTTCCAAACCTTTGGTTTATGGGACACTGCATAGGCAGATACTGGTTCCTGCATGGCTTTGCTCTGAGCTTTGGACGACTCCATAGCTCTGCAGATATCCAAACAACTAGACAGAGTAAGATTTGGCTCTTGCAAAAGACGTTTTCTTGTATTATCGTCTCTAATCCCTAGAACGATTCGATCTCTGATGAGGTCATCAGTTAGAGTACCAAACTCACAAGTACTTGCAAGAGACCTTAACCTCACATAATAATTCTCAACTGACTCATCAGTATTCTGAACACACTTATTGAACTGATATCTTTCAAAGTAATGTTTGTTTGCCCGACACAATATTCAGACCAGAGTTTTCTTATGCATTTATAACTCTTTCTTTCCTCCTCATTTCTGAAAGGGAGGCCTTGTTGAATCTCCAATGCATCAGTTCCTAGTGCCGTTATGAAATGTGCCACACGAATTTTATTACTTTCGTGTTCTAACCCAGTTATGACCTCATAACTGTCCCACATCTGGGTGAAAATACCCCAGTTTTTCTTCATATCCCCTTTTACCGAAAGAGGTCTTGGGAGTGGCACATTGTTATACTTGTACTGCCCGGCCTATTTCTGGTCCTAACACTATCATTATCAGTATTGTTATCACTCAAGACCTGACCCTGGTTAGTCCCAGTTTCATTTACTCCTTCTGACTCTTCACTTCCCCTCTGGGGATGATCTTGTACTGCCTCAGTGTTAGACATGGTTATCTCTACCGCCTATACAATTACACTTACAGTAACAAATCAGCAAATTCTAATACGGAGTAAACTATACTTGTATTGCATTTGAATTGTGAATTTAATTTAACCCGAAATATGAATATAATTTAATTCCTTAGTTTGAATTATATATTGAATTTGATTTGAATTGTTAATTTTATATTAATCTGAACTACGAATTGAATTGATGTGAATTATAATTATAGATTGTAGTAATCTGAATTATGAATTTATTTAACCTGAATTGTCAATTAATTTAATCTGAATTATGAATTGTACGCGATCGGGATTTGAATTGAATTATTTCCTGAAATATGAATTGAATCTGTCTGAATCATGAACTGTATTGAATTTGAATTGTGAACTTAACTTAACCCGAATTATGAATTTAATTTTATTACTTAGTTTGAATTATAAACTGAATATGATTTGATTTTGTTAATTATATTTTAATTTGAATTACGAACTGAATGTGATCGGGATTTGAAATGGATTTGATCTGAATTACGAATTGAATTGGTTTAAATTTTTAATTGTATTTAATCTGAATGCGAATGAATTTAATCCGAACTTGAACTGAATTTAACTACTTAATTTATGAATCGAATTTTAGTCTGCATGTTGAACTATCGCATTTGTTGTTACCTATGTCCAAGTTAAATGTTCTACTCTGTACCCATATGTATCTTATTGATGTTTATAATGTGTAACTTTGTACCGACATGCAAATGAAACAAATTTCCAATCATTGGACAATAAATTGAATATGATAAACCCACTGAATGAACCAGACTGATTGGACTTATCGAGTATTAATTCTGATATTAATGCACTCTTTCCATAAATCCACACCATTTCATTCCAAACAATGCACACGTAAAACAACCAAAATAACTAAACATCGTTATTATTATTGATAGTTCACATTACATCGACTGACGAGTCAAGTCTATTGCGACAATGTTCATAAGTCATATTCACCGCTGCTCAACGACGTCGCGTTTATGGATGCTATGCTACGAACCATTCGCTAATCTGTCCACTGTACGACGACTTCGCGTGTACTCGGTTGCTGCAAACTTGCTCGGAACGTGAACAGTTCGACTCTGTAAATTATTCTTCCTGGCTGTACGCCGATTTCAGGAATGAGTCCATGGTCACTACACTTCTGACACCATGTTTTATGCTTTTGTTTGACTCTACATAATAGGCAATAAAGTCTGTTTAAAGTTTACAACTTCAACTGGTTAGTGCTTTATTCTAGTAATCTTCATTCTGGTTGTCAAGTCAGTACATAACACAAGAGGGCGCACTGCCACTCTAAACCATATATAACAGTTCCTGTGCAAGAGTTTTCCTAGCTATTTCTTATACTGAATATATCATTTTATTGTGTGTGACAAGTTTGGTTCACATTCCTTCATTAAAGAAATAAGAGGTGAAACGATAACTTCAATGGACAGTGCAGTGCGGTGTGAGTAGTACCTCCCCATATGGAAACGTTGTATCATCCGCTCAATCTGACTTGCGTGCATAGAACAAATAAGCATTTTCCCATGAAAAAGTGAAGTTTTCTAAAATGTGCGTTTCTTTCCAGCATTGGGGCGCCCGGAAGTCACTCGGGTAACATTTCATGAAGTATAATATAAAAAGACTATATGCAAATTTCTGTACTTTTGTCGGAAAAAATACATTTATCCAGCACAATGTCGTCTCTTTTTGCGTTGGAGAAGAGCAAATAGGGAGTTTCAATCACACTTTGGCCGCTCTCGCAAGCTCTCACTCGTTTCACTGTGGTCAAGAGACTTTGGGGCAAGCGGTTAATGAAAATACTAATCGTTAGCTTTCTTCTGGTATCAAACTTATTTGATTGATCGTATAATTTTGTCGGAATAAAGGAAACAAAAATGCTCGACCAACAACTCATCAGCGTCTGAATTGACCTTTTGACCTTGAATTCCCTGATGCAAGCGCACTAATGACGTGATCTTTGCTAAATCGGTGTCTTTTATCGTAAAATGCGACACTTTCACAATGTTTATACATCTTTTTTTAATTATTAGTAAGATATAACATATTTTTTCTGATATCACTGAAATTTTGGGTTTCATTTAATGAGTAATTTTAAAATAAGAGCCATTTTATTGTTTTAATTTACTGGATCGTACCATTAAAGTTGCAGGGTAGAAAGATGCATTTTCCAACCGCGCCAAATTTAATTTACTTTCCGACATTAGGTTAAATGGGTTCGTGTTGTTAAGAATCCACTGCTTTCTGCTCCAACAAACG